CCCATCCTAATCCACAGGGAAATTCCTGATCCACAGGAAACATCCAGTGTGCACTGCCTGTCTTAGGATGAGACCTGGGGGTCACTCCACACCCTTGGGTTGAGTTATTCAGACACAGAGAAGCTGCAGTTGAGGCTCAGCTGCTCCCCCTCCATTGCTGGGCTTTGCAGGGTTTGAGCCTCACCAGCATCATTTATTGCTATTTACCATAAAATAGCTGGAGCCAGGTCCTGTGTGTGCACTGCCCCCCTGCAAAGCTCCCAGCCAAGCCCACCTAATGACCTTTGGGTTCATTAGTGCTGATTCATTCATTGTTTGTGCATGGCCATAAAAACCACTTAATGTCAGACACCGATTCCTCCAAAAATAGGAATAAGGGCAAACTTCTCTGGGATCTGATGATATCTTTAACAATCAGACAATGTACCATTAGCAGTGGCATATTTAGCAGTGGATCTTCATTGCAGTGATTTAAAATAGCCTGTCTGAGTCAGCTCCTTGCCCACCTTTCCCACTATAAATTGATACCCACATCCAGGCTGTCACCTCTCCCATTATCCTGATTCTGATTTCATTTTGACTCACCCCCTCCCATGTCAGCCTGTGTTCCCTTCTCTGGGTTTTCCATCCCTAGGAACGTTTGGTTGGGGTTCCAGAGCACACAAACAGCACAGAGTGGGCAGAGCTCAGAGGATGAGCCGTGCCCTGGAGCTGCCACCAGTGAGGATCTTCTCTCGTGGCTTCCCTTGCTGGTGGGGGTTTGTGCAGCCACATAAAGGGAGATAATAGCACAGAAAATGGGTATTAGCAGCACTCAAGTTTTCAGATGATCCCTCTTGCAACAACCAAGTACATCCCTTCAAAGCAAACGTTCCTCTGAGCTTCCCCCAGCACGGCCAGGAGCAGCCCGGGCTGATTTATGAGTTAGTCAGCATGTCAGATTTGTGTAATGAGATTATACATTCAATCTAATGAAGGAAAAATATGCTTACCAGCCCAGTGTGACAGCACTGTGATTAAATGATTGGGGAGCAGTGTTCCCTGGGTGGATTAATCTGAGGGATGCAGCAGGTACAGCTCACCTGCTTCCCGTGTCTGCAGCGCTGGGCTGGGAGATGGATGGGGGCTGATTGTGTTGGTGAAACAAGGATGGGATCACAAAGGGGATGTTTGTATCCACCAAACTGGCCTTTGTTTTGTGTTAAACTCCCACAGTGATTTAGTGCTGCTTGTTTGAGTCTTGGGGATGAAAGGAAGATAAAAGGAACAAAGATTCTGCCCTTTAATGCATCCCTGGCCCTGGGGCAGTGCCCTGCCCATCCTCACCCAGCCCAGCTGTAACACTAAGCAAGGCTTCTCCAGCTTGATTTTTTAGGGGCAGGAGTATCCTGCTAGGTCTGAGAGAGGGAGGTAAGGAGGTGTTTGCTGCTTTTCCAGCTGAGAGGGAGACTGTTTAAAACCGGGATCTTGACGATGCTACAAGAAACCTTTGTGTTGTCGTGAGTCAGGTGTTGACCTTTCCCATCTCCAGATCCTGAAGTGTTTATCTTGCATGGAGAGAGCAATTGATTGTCTCTTGAAGAGGAGCTGACATTCTAACTATATTATCTTTGATATATATGTACTCTGGGGATTGACCACACGAGAAAGTCAGATGTTGTGTTTAAAGGGCAGGAGAGGATAAGCCAGAAACAGGGGCACTGAGGTCTTTTGTCTTCTGACCTGCCAAATTATCACGTGTGCCCACAAGAGCTGAGGGCTGTATTTGCTGCTGGTGGGTTTGTATCCTCAAATGAGATCACCAGAAAGAACCAGAAATTGAGTCCTGTGCAGCCAGGCCCTGGGATGTTTGAATCACACTGAGCAGCTGATGAAGAATTAGTGCATCAAACCATTTCAGAGCCATACCTGCTCTCTGACCTGCTCTCATCTTCAAGGTTTAAATAATAAATGTTAAAATAAATAACTCAGATAAGTTTGGTATTAAAACCAGCCAAGCAAAAGTAATTTCTGCTGCTGCAAATAGGAATATTCTTTAGTCTTACAGGAGGTTTACCAGCTGTGCAGCCTCCCTCAAACCTGGCAGAGCAGCAGTGATTCCCAGCCAGGGGAGTGTTGTTTCCTCCTCTGGAAGTTGGGTCATTTTGCTCCTGGAATTTCATGGCTGATGCCTGCCTGTGGAAAGGCCAACACTGTGCTGGTCTGAGGGGAAAAAAATGCTCCTGTGGTCTCACCATGGGGCTCCAAAGCAGCCCAGATTTTGGGGTGTAACATTCTGTTCTCATGGAGGCCACGACTGTCACCCCTGAGATGGGCAGAGCTTTAACCTGTGCCAGGAGACAGAGGCATGGCTGAGGTGGGATGGGGTTTATTTTTGGAGAAGAAGAGTTCTCTGACACCCATTGTAATCTACGTGGGATGTGGGGTATTAGCTGATCTTACTTTGATAGTGCTGTAAGCTGGTCTTTGATAATTGCTTTCTGTAATTGGAACAAATTTCTGATTATGCTAATTCTGCTGCTGCTGCCACCCAGCTCGGAGGGGCTGAGTTAATCCCCATCTGCCCCTGCACTGCCTTTGCAGATCATTCCCTGATTAGCCTTCCTAAGAAACGATGGGGGGATTTTAATTCTGAGCAGATTGAATTTCAGGGAAAAAAAACAGATATCTTTATACAAACTTATGGTATATTATGGCAAGTTTTAAGTCTGATTCAATATAGAAACATTTAAGATCTTCAGATGGACTAATTCTTAAAAAGAAAAGGATATAATTCTGTCACAAGCAGCTGTGTGACCTCCACTGGTGACAAAGGGAGGGGAGTTAAATGCTGATGAGTTTTGAGTCTGCTCTTCAGAGGCTGCAGTTCAGGACCCTGCTGCTCATTTCAGTGTGGAGACATTGCAGATGCTTTGTTACCTTTGTTTTCCTTGCTTGGTTTGTGTGTATTTGTGTGGGCTGGATTTTTCCAAAGGTCACATCCCTGCCGGTGGCACCCATCTTTTGTCACCACGAGCCCTTTAAATTTATCCATTCATCCCAGAAGTTCATCCCTTAGTTCTCCATCTTTGAAAGCACCCTCCTGCTGAGGCAAAGGCAGGGAATGGCTCGGAATAAGGCTGGTTTTCTTCAAAGGAGGGGGAGGCTGAGTGAGGGGAGTGCTGGCAGTGCCACCCACTCTGGATGAGAAGGAGAAGGCGCCGTGTGTCCTCCAGAGCAAACCCTGGTTTGATCTCACATCTCAACACTTTGGTGTTTATGTTCTGTCTGTTGAATGTTCTCCCTTTGCTGTGATCATCATTCCTCTAAAGGCTTTGCTTCAGTGTTTTTCATTCCCCAAACCTCTCAGTCCCAGTAAACTCGGGAGAGCTGTGTGTGCTCCCTCCTGGAACAGTGACAGGAACGGGGACACTGAACCCTCCTGTCCCCAAAATCCCTGCCCTGATCAGAGCCAACATGCAAAATCCATCAATGCCCTCGTGACACAGTGAACTCTGGGAGTGCTGGACATGTTTGTCGTTGCTCTGAACATTTCTTTGCACACAAAGTGCTTTCGGTTCTGAGCGCGACCATCGAGTTTCTGTCACTTGATTTATGCTCCCGTGGCTGCTCCATAATTTAAATTGCATTCCTAATTTCTGTGCTGAAACCCCCTTGGACAATTAGGATTAAAGTTAACTGCAGAAGGGAGACTGAGCAGCAAACAGATTTCTTGGTTGTTCTGTGCCTCAGATCAGAGGAAAATGGAATATGCTCCAAGAGATGCTGCTCAGGGAAGGGTTTGGCACTGTTGGCACAGGGGAGGTGTCCCTTGGCTGGGGGAAGGAGTGGCAGGGAAAGGAGTCAGAGCTGGATACTCTTTTACCCAACTGTGTCAAATAACTGTTTAAGTCCATGGTCCTGGTGTGGGATAAAGTGCCCCAGCCCCAGAGTCTTTCCTGGGTGAGTCTCCAGCCGTGGTCCAGGACACGGGGGGATGGATCCATCCCTCCCACACCTCCTGTCCCAGCCACCCCACACGAGTGATGCTCCTGGAAGGGGAACCTGCTGCCTGGCACGGGCTGTAATTGGCTTTGCTGGTCAGCTTTTGCAGCTTTGTTTATAAACTGGAAAATCCACAAATTGCAGACCATCTGCGCAGAGCAGAGCGCTAATGAGTGCCTGTAGCTCCTGAATCCATAAGCTCATTACCATGAACTTCCAAGTCCTTCCACAAGTTACTAAACAAGGTTATTCATCTGAACTGAGCTGAGAAGGGTATTTGACTCCAGGGCCCAGCCATAAACTCCTTCAGGTCCAGAAAAGCCATTAAAATAACTCACATGTCTTCAGTCTTTTAGTAGAATTGGTTGATTTTGCTTCTATTTTTAATTTTTCACTTCTGTAAGAGCAGCTTGCCATGCCTTAACTATTTGTTTTTAATGTTTCAAGTGGAGAAATGCCTTGCAGATGATTCCTGGGGCTGCTCAGAGACGTGTTGGTCGGTGAACTTGAGAAGATGCATTGAAATATATTATACACAGCACCTCGTGGTGTTTATGTGCCATGACAGCAAACATTAATGGCCTCTGTTTTAAGGATGTTTATGGAAATTGGGAATCTGTTATGATGACTTGGCTCTTTCACTGTTTGTGGTGTCAAGCAATTTTGTCTGTAGTGTCACTTCAGTGTCTCTTTACTGACAGTTCAGTGTCTCTCTGTTTCTTCTCAAAAAAAGTAGAATTAATAATACTTCTTATGTGCCATCCCAGTCTAATATGAACCTTAGCTGGCAGTTGTCTGCTTGTTTGACCATATAAAGCACGGTGCACCAAGAGCAGTGCTTAAAAGTATTTCTTATTGTCTTGTTTGAGATTTTCCTCCGTGTTCTTTGTGCAAAGATCAGCCTTTCTGAGTTACCAGTCAAAGGAAGTATTAACAAGATTAATGAGGTGATCAGCCCAGGTGCTTTTGTTTTGAGAGCCTCCTTCAGGTTCTGCTTCTGCTCCTTCCCCGTGCAGGTGGAGTGGCTGAAGAACGAGGAGCCCATCGACTCCAACCTGGACGAGAACATCGACACCAGGGCCGACCACAACCTCATCATCCGCCAGGCGCGGCTCTCGGACTCGGGCAACTACACCTGCATGGCTGCCAACATCGTGGCCAAGAGGAGGAGCATGTCTGCCACCGTGGTGGTGTACGGTCAGTGCCAGGGCTCACCCTGGGCACGGGGGTGTCGGGGCTCTCCCTGCTGCAGAACTCGGTGTCTTTAACACCCCGGATCCCGGGGCTGTCAGGAGGAGTTCCCCTCTGCTGGGATTTGTTGCTGGGTGTCTCCTGCCCCCCCCCCGGCACGGCCTGAGCCCCGTTTTGTGGTTTTGTTTCGCAGTGAACGGGGGGTGGTCGTCGTGGACAGAGTGGTCCAACTGCAACGCCCGCTGCGGTCGGGGTTGGCAGAAACGCTCCCGGACCTGCACCAACCCTGCCCCCCTCAACGGGGGGGCCTTCTGTGAGGGCATGTCTGTGCAGAAAATCACCTGTACCTCCCTCTGCCCCGGTGAGTCCCCACGGGGGGTTTGCATTGGCTGGGATGGCTTTTGGTGCTGGGCAGAGCTGGGCTTTGAGAGGAAGGAAGGGGGAAATGCTCACAGCCCTGCTCAGGCTGGAGCTCAGAGCCCGCTGTAGCAGCACTGACAGGAACCTGTGGCTCCTCATCCACACTGTGATTTACACCAACAAAACACTCAACAACAAACCAGCAACTGGCTCAGAGTGAGAAATCCTGTAACTGGGGGGGTGGGTGGGGGAGTGGGAAAGGGGGAGTTGATTTTGGTAACACCAGGAAGACAAGCACAAAAACCTAAGATAAGAACTTCACTTAAAAGTGTTCCCTAGCTGGGAGAAGTTTGCTTTCCAGTGTACTAAACGTTGGGTTATGGGGGAGAGACATGGAACAAGCGTTCCTGTGGGACCTGGAACCACAGCAGTGCTGGTGCTGATGCTGGTTTTCCTTCCCCCCCTCGCAGTGGATGGCAGCTGGGAGGTGTGGAGCGAGTGGTCTGTGTGCAGCCCCGAGTGTGAGCACCTGAGGGTCCGCGAGTGCATCGCTCCCCCGCCCCGCAACGGGGGCAAGTTCTGCGAGGGGCTGGGCCAGGAGTCAGAGAACTGCACCGAGGGGCTCTGCATCCAAGGTGAGCTTGGCACCGAGCTGGGGTGGCCTGGGAGCGGGGCTGGGATGGGAATGTGGCACCTGCTGTGAGGAGGGAGGTGGTTCCAGGTGAAGCTCGGGATCCGCGGTGGTTCCGGAGCCGCCGGGTTTGCCCGGCACACGCTCTGCCCAGGAATGGTCAGATGACTCTAAAAATCCAAGCACAGGGGGTTTGCAGTGTTTAGCTGTGGTCACCACAACCTGGCCCTCCTGCCTTTCCTTGCCAGTCAACGGGCAGGGCACCAACAGGGAACTCCTGGTGCAGGAGCTGCTCGAGGTCAGAGTCTACTCCATTTATTGCCTTTAACACAGGAGTTAAATACAAACAAATCTGCAGCTCCCTGGGAAAGGATTTGCCCTTCCTCAGTGTCTGGAAAGCATCTGGCACTTGGTAGCTGTTACTATCAACAAACAAGTGGGAGCCAGGAAAGGAGCCCTGCAGCTGTGGCAGGGCTGTGCAGGCTCCACACAGGGAGGAATTGGCACCTTCATTCCAGCCCTGAGCCTGCTCCCTGTCCCTGTGGAGGGACTGTCACCTCGCCAGGGGGAATGGCAGCCATGGGAGCAGTCAGGAGTGCCAGGGCTGAAAGATGGGAGCAGGAATAAGTCTGCTTTTGCTTGATTTTATGTTTAACTAGTCCCCTGTCTTTGTTTCTGTGGTCCTACATTGCCCCGTCTTTTCTAAACAAAAAGAACTTTCTTTTTTGCCCTGAGATTTTAATATTTTCCTGATGGCAGAGAGCATCCTGTGTATTTATTCAGGCTTCAGAGATGCTTCCACCTGAGACCTTAGATGAGATCTGGTTGGGTTTTGGTGGGAGGGAGTACCCAGCACTCCTGCTGTTTGTCTCTCCTTTCACTCTGTGATCACTCGAGGGTCAGTCTGGCCCTTCTCAGGGGTCACAGGATGGTGCTGAGCTTGTTGCTTGTTTCTCAAGACCACTGTGATATTTACTGCTAATTCCAGCAGTGCATTCCTAGGAGCTACTCTGGGATAAAGCCCTCTGAAGGTTTATTATATAATCAAAGAATCCACAGGGTGGTCAAACGCAATGAGAGGGAGAGGGTCTGTGTTTGGGGTTCTGTTCACAGACGTGGCACCAGGACAACGTTATTTTACTTTTTTTATTTTTTTTTTTTTTAATCATCTGGTATCTGTGTTCCCTAAAGCAAGGCTGGTTTTCATGGTAGGAGATATAAAAGCTGCCTTGTGGAATTCCCGGAGGGGAATTCTGCACGTGTCAGTGCATCCATCCATCCCTGTGCCTTTGTCTGGGTACCCAGGGCAGCTGGGTCAACTCTGCCCTCTGAGCTCTCTGGCTTTCAAACATCTCATCCCCTCCTCTGCCTGGGCCAGGCAGTGCCAGGGAGTGTCCTGTGGAATCATAAAATCATGGAATGGTTTGGGATGGAAGGCACCTTAAAGCTCATCTCGTTCCACCCCTGCCACGGGCAGGGACACCTTCCACCAGCCCAGGTTGTTCCAACACCTCCATCCCTGCTCCAAAGGCTGTGCTTCCATATGGATTCAGCTGGACTGGAGTGTTCAGTGTCTCCTGGTTCTTCTCCCCCCCCGAGTGTGATCCTGTTTCTCCTTTATGGGTCGAGCTGCACGGGTATACTTGTGTCAGATTATTTTTAGGACTGTAATTGCTTTCTCAGCTAATAGGAATTGATGCAATTACCCTATTTTTTAAAAATCTTTTTTTCCCCCTGCTCATCTTCCAATATGTGCCTTTCCTGCTCTGCCTCTCCTCCCGTGGGGAATTGTGGAGGAAATGCAGCCCTGTGCTGCAGAAAACTAATCTCTTGGAGGTTATTTATCAGGCACAACTTGTTAACTTTGTTCCTTTCGTGAGGCAAAAATAGAAATGAGACCTTCCTTTGGTTAAGGAATAAGAACTGGAATGAAAAAGTGAGGATGAGAGTGGAGGGTGCCAGGGAAGTACTGGGGGATCCTGAACTGGCAGAGGAAACGCTGATCCTTGGGATGGATGTTGGAGTCAAGGAAATGGGGATAAAGCAGGGGCAGCCCTTGGGTTCTGTGATCCCTGACAGGAGGATTTGGAACATCCCTGTCCTCCCTTTGCTCCTTGATGCTCTGGATGGATCCTGATGGTCCTGCCCTGGACTGAGGAGCAGCTGGAGGTGCTTTTCTTGCAGGGAATTTCTTCTCCCACTTGTAACAGTTGGATAGATGCAAACTTGGATGCAAAGGAAGAATTATCTGGGGATTGATCCATAGCAAAGATTGCCAGGGCTGCCAGGCTGGGAGGGAAATGGGGATTGACTCGTGCATTGGCTCCACACAGCCCCAGGAACTCACTGGTTCCTTGCACATTTGTTCTTCCAGTGTTTATTCCCTCCCAGTATTCCCAGTAGAGTCCTTCTCTGTGGTGGAATTCTCTCTTGCAGAGGTGAAAGCTTTTTCTTTGCCTAATAAAAGAGAGGGGTGTTTCTTTTAAGAGGTTTTTTTGTTTGTTTGTTTTACTTTTATCTGTTTGCTTTAAAGTTGGGTTTTTTTCCGACCTTCCAAACCTATTGATTTCTTTTCCCAGCGCCCAGAACACAAACAAACACTTGGGCCATAAACAGCCCGACCCCAAACGTGTGTTACTGAGGCAGCAGAAATCCCAGAGAAATTCACTTCCCATTTTCCAACCAGCCCTGGGTTCCTTTGTCAGGCTTTAGGTTATAAATGGTAACTGTAATTATGACAAGGGAGACAGAGAAGCCTCATTTTTGAGAGCTGCAGGCCTGATAAAGCCAATTTTATCCTATATTTGCATATGTATGGTGGTACATTGGTTCAGTATGTTCTTATATGCACGCATAGATGTGATTATTGGGGTGCATTTAGGTACATAAATATGGATATACTTTACATTTTTGTATTTTATGAGTTACTTTTACGTGTCCATCACTCACCTTCCCATATATCAAACACACAGAAGTCATTAATCCTGAACTGACTCTTTGCCAAGTGATCCACTGCAAAGTATTGAACTTCCTTCTTGCTGAGATGTAAATAAATAACAGCATCCAATAGAGCTAATTCAAATACTCGAATTAACCAAGTGAGAAATTACTGCAAAGAAACACCCTGAAAGGGATTTAGAAAAAAATAAGATGAAGAGAAAAATATGGACAACATAAAATATTCATATTGTCAGCAAACGAGGAGAAAATGTTTCATTTATAGAGTGAGACAGAAGCAATATAGGAAATAGATATGCTCCATATAAATTTATTAAGTGCAACTTTCTCTCTCTCTCTCTCTCTTTCTCTCTCTCTCAGATAAAAAACCTCTTCATGAAATAAAATCCCAAAGTAAGTTGTTTTTTTTCTCTTGTAAATATGATTTTTCTCATCTTCTCTGCCATTTGGTTTATTTGTTTAGGATCTAAGTGCCACAGAAGGTTTTATAAAAGGCTTTAGCATCTGCTGAAAGCGTCTTCTGAGCACCTCTGTGATCATAGGCTTTGGTCTAAAACCAGAGAGGTGATCACTCCTTAGCAATTTGTGTCTGACTGCAGGAATGCTCGTCCTGGAATGGATCTCCTGAGCCCTTCTGATTAGAAAAAAAAAGGAATTAATAGAGGAGTTTGGTTTTCTTGCTCCAGATCCGGTTCCACTCCTGGCTCTGACCGTGCTCAGCTCCCTCCAGCCTTCCTGTCTCACCTGCTGAGGGGATTCCCGTGTCCAGAATGTCTGGTCACCCTTTCTGGGCTGCTCTGGGGGTCCCTGTCCTGCCCCCCATCCCTGCAGCCCCAGCTGGGGGTCCCTGTCCTGCCCCAGGGAACAGGGGATGGATGAGAGGGAACGGCCTCAGGCTGCACCAGGGGAGGTTCAGGTTGGGTATTAGGAAAAGCTCTTCATGGAAAGGGTGGTCAGACCTTGGAAGGGGCTGCCCAGGGAGTGGTGGAGTCCCCAGACCCATGTGGATGTGGCACTCGGGGACGTGGCTTGGTGGTGACCGTGGTGCTGGTTGGTGGTTGGACTTGGTGGTCTTAGGGGGCTTTTCCGACCTTAGTGGCTCTGTGATTCCATGATTTTTGCATTCCTGGCTCTTAATTATTTCTGAGGATACCCAAAGTGGAAGTTAGGGAGCTCAGAACCGTGCATTTTTGGGTTTGGCCTGTCTGTGTCTCCCTGAGTCCTCCCCTGCTGGTCCCTGTGGCCAGGCTGTGCCACAGCTTGTGTTCATCTGTGCACCTCCCCTTTGACAGAGGATCTTGAAAAAATACCAGTGAAATCACTTGATTTTCTGATTTATCCCAAAAGCAGCTTTAATGGAATTGATTTTAGCCCAGGAGACACCTGGGGAATCCAAGGGCTGTGTTGTAGCTGGAGACATAAAACACAGCTCGTTGCTGTTCAGCAGAACAGGGCCTTGGTCCAGGCCTCCATGAGTGATGCAAAATCAAAGCCAATTATGAAGATAATTGAGAAACAACCTGTTCTACTCAATAACCTTTCACACGAGTCTCTGACTTTTGCTCCTGGTGCTCCAGGACTGGCTCCAGGTGGGAAGGGAGCCCAGGCTGGGCTGGGAGGGAGGGATGGAGAGCAGGGAGCATGGGCAGGGCTGGGGCTGCAAGAACCTCTCAGATCTGCTCCCAAACCCTGCTGGTGAGGGGGAAGGGTGTGCCCTGCACAGCTCCTGGAAAGCACTCCTCGTAAATGAGATAATTTAATCAATTACTGTTCCTAATGTACTAAACCAAATGTTTCATTTTCTGCTCCTGCACATCTTAAATTATCTTCAGGTGCTTTATGAAACTTAATCATAGTTAATAGAAACTTCATTACCATCAAATGTGCTTTCAATAAATGTTGTGTAACAGTGTCAGGAGGTGGAGTGAAAAATAGGCTGCAATTACCACAAACATGGATCCTGGAACCCAAATGGATAAAAATCGTGGTGCTTTGCCAGAGTCCCTCCCGGCTCCGGGCTGGGAGGATGCAGCTCATTAAATAGTAATTGGTTGGCTATAAATGTTTTCTTTCCTAGTTTGTTTGTTTTTCACTTTGTTCCCTTCTGGGAAAACATAAAAGCAGAAATTCCCCCCCTCCCCAAATTTCCCACGCTGTCCTTTTTTTCATTAATTTCTAGTCTTCCACGAGAGGAATTCTCTGTAAGAAAAGAGAGAAAGATGAAGAGATTAAAATTGCTTTAAAAAGCCAGCAGTTGTTTGTAAAGAAATACTGACATCCTAAATCAAGGGGGAAGTTTTCCTTCTCCTGGAGCTCTGTTCCATGGGAATAATTCAAGGAATGCCACGTCCCTCTTGTTTTGCTCTTTTAAGAAAAAGCTGTTTGAAAATCTGCTAAATCCTGAAAGGGAGATCCTTGGCCTCTGGGCTCTGTGTGTTGCTTGGGGTTTGTGGTGGGTTTTTCCCCTCGCAGTGGGACAGTTTTGGGAGCACCTGAGTGACCCTTCCAGGTGTTCCCTGGAACAGAACCACGGTCATTGTCCTAAAAGAGAAGGAAACTCAGAAAGAATAACTGTAAGAGGCTTTAATCATAGAATTTATAGAACAGTGTCAAAGTCAAGTTCTGGGGATACCCAAAAGTATTCACCAAAAAGAAACTTCTCAGAAAAATTTTACTTCTTCTGCTTGTTTTGAATTCCGTGTTCTCTCTCTGCTCTTTAACCAGGTACAACGTTATAAAAGTAGAGGTAGAAGAGGTAATTCAGATTTCCAGCCCTTTCCTGCTTTAAAGTAATGATCAAAATGGAAGCCCTAAAGATGCTTTGTGGTGCAGCAACCACAGCTCACTCTGCAAAGAACCCACTTGCTGTTGGGTTTCTCCTCCCCCTGGGCATCCATCACATCCCTTCTATTGCCTCGTTTGTTGTACTCGTTACCTGCCAAAATTATGTCAGCAACAGAGTCTCATAATTAATTCCCTGTAACAACAAAGCAACTTGGGAATAGTAAACTGGAAGAAATAGAAGTGTAATCAGTGTCTGTGCTTCCCTTTCTGCACCTGATCCTGGAGAGTAAAACCAGTGTGGGATTGAGGCTTTGAATTGGGGTTTGGGTTGTCTTTGTGTGACCCTCTGGGTTTGTGTTCCCTTGTCCTGTCTCCCATCTCTCATCCTCAGTCTCATTTTGCACTGTCAGCTCACAGCTGACTCTCTGACATTCTCAGCTGCACCAAAAATGCTTAAAATTCTCTTGACAACATTTTTCAAGGTGGGGGGGGGGGTCTCATGAAAAAAAAAATGCTTCAGAAAGAAACCTTTCTCTCTAGTAATTGGTTCAGTAGAACAGTGTGGCAGTTGAATTGTTCTGAGAAGTTGGATCAGAGCTATTTTTAAGTTTATTAATGTGATTTCCCGTCCTGACCTGCCACAGAAGGTGGATTTCTTCTCAAAGCTGATATTTGCACGCAAATTTCACGATTATTTCTTTTCTTTTTACCTTCTCAGCAAGTTGTGACCGTGTTAAAAGCAGGACCCTTTTCAGTCTGAGCTTATTTGGAAACGCAGCAGAATTTTCTTGGCTAAATAATGGTTCTCATAAAACTGATTCCAGGACATTTGCTTTGGGTTGAAGGGGGTGCTGGGTTTCCTCTGCTGCCTCGAGTGAGGAACAGCCTGTGCTCAGCCCCTCCCCAGGACGTTCAGCTCGGGGTGTTGTCGCTTGTCTGACACTTGTTTTGCATCCCAGGGAGGTGCCAGGCTGAGGAAATGCTGCTGGAGGTGCTCATTTCTTTCATTTCTTTCATCCCAACCCTTCTGAAGTTCCGGGATCATTTTAAAAAAGCTCAGCTAAAATAGAGTTATCTGACTTTCCGCAGGAAAGTGCAAGGCAAGCCTCCTCCCAAACAGTAATTAAGTAATTTCAGTAATTGGCTATTTATTAAACGCTGATTTTTAACTTTCTGCCCTATTTCTGTGCAGTGCAGCTCGTTTATGGGTTCTGAGCAGTCTGGATTCCCCAGTTATTTTTTTTTGTCACTGTCATTTGTTGTAAATAAATGCAGTTTGTGTTCCCAGGGCCTCTCCCGTGCCAGGAGGAGCCCCCCCAGCAGGGAAGAGCTGATGCCCAGGGTGAACTCATGGCTCTCTGCCCCCAAACTGGAGCTGGGCATTGAGGGAACCATCCAAGGACCCACTAAGGGCACTTGCCAAGTAATTTAATTTCATGCTAGGCTGTCCCAAATCCCAGCAGACCTAGAACAGCAGGACTGGATATTTCAATTATGGAGTATTGCAGTCTTCATTTGGATCCGTTCTGGCAGAGCAGGGGATTCTGTTTCTCTGCTGTCAAAGTTTGGAGTCGTAGAAAACTTGGTTGTGGGTTCATGTGTGGGCACAGCCACAGGGAAGGTTCAGTTTCCAGCCTGATTTTAAAGGCTGAAGGTGCTCCCAGGGATGTCTGGGGGGTCTCCTCAGCCCCTCTCTGGGCTGGGGCAGGATGGAGTGTTCCTCCCTAAAGCTCACGCAGCAAGGAGGAGGAAAGGGAAATCTGCACTCAGGTTCTTCAGAGGATCCACGACCTCCTGGATTAGGTCCAGAATCCAAACCTAGAACTTGCACATCCCTGGAAGAGCCAGCAGGAGATGACAGTCCTGCTGAGCCCTCCTGGCTGCAGCTCCTCGTGCTCCCTTTGAGGGTTGAGTTCCACACTTGAGTGATCTCCAGGGGGTTGGAGTGGGAATCGATGGCCCAGCTCAGCCAGGAGCTCAGAGGGACAAGCTCTGCTGCTCTCACAGCCCAGCTCTCCTGTTTTAAAACCTGCAGGGGCCACGGTGGCACCCCTGAACCAGAGGAATCTCTGCTGTGTGCAGTGACCCCTCAGGAACCTGCTCCTGCTCCGGGGTGGTCGCTCCCCAGCGCTCTCCGTGCTCCTGGGACCTGCTCCGTGCCGGCATCTCCCGCTCCTCTGTGGCTGCCCAGAGCTCCCCCTGCTCCTTCCAGCCGACACTCCTGACCCCTTCCCCTCCTGTTCTCCCCCCAGATCTGGAGACTGCCAGTGACATCGCGCTGTACTCGGGGCTGGGGGCGGCAGTGCTGGCCGTGGCCGTGCTGGTGGTGGCCGTGACGCTCTACAGGCGCAGTCAGAGTGAGTATGGGGGGGGATGGCATTGATTCCTTCATTGATTCCTTCATTGATTCCTTCATTGATTCCTTCATTCATTCCTCTGTGCCTCCAGGCATTTCATTTTAAGGCAGTCAGACAAGGTTGGTGCCCTGGTTTCGTGTTTTCCTTCCCCCCAGAGCTCCCGCTGCACACACACACTCAGGGAGGGTGTCGTGGCTGCAGGGACAGGACCTGGTGGTTGGAGCTGCCTTTGCCACTACCCTGCCCTGGCAGCTTGGGCAAACCCAGAATCCTTCCTGACCACGCTCCAGAGGCTCTAGAAACCCTGTCCCCAGCTTTTACACTGACTTAGGAAAAGCCCAGATTGAACGAAATCAAAGCAAACCCAGGCAGCACTGTCTGTGGTTCCTTCCTGTTCAGGTACAGACCTTTGCTTTACTCCAGGAAGAGTGGTTAGTTAGTTACTGATAATTAAAGAACTGATGGTTAGTTACTGATAATTTGAGAACTGATGGTTAGTTAGTTACCAATAATTTCAGAACCCCAACTTGCAGGTTGTAGCACTGAGGTCTGTGGGAAATAAATGGGTGTAAAAACCCCCTGAAGCCCTAAAAACCCCACCAGTGCCATGAAACGTGGGCAGAACATTCAGTGAAGGCAGCTCTCGTGTTTTCTGGAATGTTATTTCCTTTGGACAGACAGGTGGGGAGGGACAGGAACGGTGATGAAAACAGAATGTTTCCTGGTTCTGTTCTGCCATTCTCCCCAGCCCGGGCTGCCTGCAGTGGGTGGTGTGTTGGTGGGGTGTGAAAGCAGCCCCATGTCTCTGTTCCCTCTGCAGAAAAGGGAAATATGTTGCAGAGTTTGTTTGGGGCTTTTTTTTTTTTTTATGTTGTTGTTTTTACAGTTTCTTTCTGTCGTGGGAGACATCCCTCACTGAGCAGGACTTGCAAGGAACTGGGAAAAGGGCCGGGTAGACAAGGATGTTTGAAGGAGGTTCAGTCATTCATTGCCAAACCCAAGCCTTTAATTAGAGCTGTGCAGTTCTCAGTGACTCTCACACGGGGACTTCTCCTTCGTGGTTCAGTTTAAATCTTGTTTTGAGTCTGGAGAATTGTTCATTTGACCCGATGTTTAAAACCATTAGTTCTGGATGCTCTGAAAATACCTGAGCACACCGATCCCTTAACTTATTAGTTCAGTTTCAGTAACTTTGGGTTCTCTGTCTGTGGGGCTTTTAGATGAGAGTATTTGTAAACTATTCAGCAGGAAAAAAAAAGCCCAGTTCTCTGTTCAGTTTGCTGAGAAAAGAGAGCCCAATCCTGACCAATGGACAACAGATTAGTGTGATCCAAACTTTATTCTTTGGAGAAATGTGTTTATAATGTTGGCAAACCATCCTGTGGTCCTTTAAAGGGATCAGGTGTTCAAGGATACAGTACAGATAATTTCCAGAAAAATAGTTACTTCGGAAAACTTGGATTTACAAAAACTAAGCAACCAACTGAACAAAAAAATCCTGCCACAAAACCAAACAAAAAAACCCCAAACCAGCTTAAGGATTCAGGCCCTAAATCCATCCATTCCTTCTCTTTTTTTTTTTTTTTTTTTTTCCAGAGTGTTTTGTGAGCTTAAAGGCCCCTAAATGAATAACTGTGGTATTTTTCCCCCTATTACTCTTGTCCCACTTTCTTTTCAGCCTGGTTCCCCTCAGGCAGGAAGTTATCATTTGGTGTGAGCTCTCAGAAAAGGTCTGCAGGAAGCTCTGCTTTCACCCGGGGGGTTTGATGTAAGGGGGAGAAAAAAAAAAAACCAAGAAAGGAAAAAAAAGGCAAACACACAAACTTGAATCCAGGACAAAAGGAAGCTCCTTCTTGGGTTCCTGCACTCTGGAGCTGCCTGGAGTGTGGGAAACAGTGATGTTGGAGCTGTTGCCTGATGGGGCTTTGTTCTTTAACCTGTCCTGACGTGATTTGGAGCTCACAGAGTGTGAGGAAGGAGGAGCAGGTCACTGAGCAGATGGGGAGGGCTCAGGAAGGGTCTCCTGAGGGGCCATTCCCAAGCAGTCACGAGCTCCCTGCTCCCTCCACAGGTAACTCCCTGCTCCTGAACTCCTCCATGCAGCCCGACCTGACCGTGAGCAGGACCTACAGCGGCCCCATCTGCCTGCAGGACCCCCTGGACAAGGAGCTCATGACGGAATCCTCCCTGTTCAACCCCCTGTCCGACATCAAGGTCAAGGTGCAGAGCTCCTTCATGGTGTCCCTGGGGGTGACGGAGCGGGCGGAATTCCACGGGAAGGCTCATCCCGGGACCTTCCCCCACGGGAACGTTCCCCACCGAGCCTTTGGGACCGTGCAGGGCAGGAACAAGGCCGTGTACATCCAGAACCTGGCCTCCATCTCCACCTCCAGCGAGCTCAGGACCACGGCCCTTTTCGGGCACCTGGGGGGTCGCCTGGTGGTCCCAAACACAGGTGGGTGGATCCTCCCTCCTTCAAAAGCACATAAAAGAATTATTTCAGATGGGCTTGATGTAGTGTTTTATAACTAAGTTTTTTTTTTAAAAAAAAAAAAAAGGCGAGGAAAGAAGAAGTGGGGGCTCCCTTCAATGCAGATTTTGGGAAGTAGGGCATGTTGCCCACACAGGAGATGAGTGATCAGAAGAAAGCCTGGGATGAGGAGGAAGGAGGCATTATGCCTATTTGAACTGTTTTAAATTACTGCCTCTCTTGATGTCTTCAGCATGAAAGCCACATTAATCAAAGCTGCTGCTTGCTTGGATGCTGATCCAAAGGAAGGGTTCCCTGGGAAGGGGGTCGATGTTGGATCAGCATCTCATCTGATGGGCTCACATTCCAAGCTGCCTCTCCAGCTCCCACTGCCAGGCTGTGGGTCAGCAGCAGAGGAGGAGCAGCCAGCCCTGCAGAGCAGCCCCTCTCTCCACAGGGGCCCTGGGGGGGGATTTTGGGATCAGCCCCTGCTGCCTTCCTGCTCTGCTCTTCTCTCAGCATCAAAGCTGGGCAGGTTCCCAGAGTGGGGCACTTCAAAGTCAGCGGCATCCCAGGGCTGGGCTGGGCTCTGGGGTGCTCAGTTCACATTGTTTGAGGAGTGGAGTTTGTTTTGTGGCTCCAGAGTTCTGTGAGATGTGTTGTAGATGGACAGAGCTGTTTGTTGGAGCAGCTGAGCACACCCAGCAGCAGGTTGGACTGGAGGAGAGGGTGTTCAGCCCCCAGCCCTGCTGGACCACAGCGCTGTGTTTGCACCTTGCTGGAGAAATTTCCTTTTCCAAAAAGGCAAAGGGAGCAGAAAAAGCCAGATACCCCCCCTGCCAGCTCAGAGCTGTCACCATCTTTCAAACTCTGGTGAACTTCACTCACCCTAAATTCAACTGTTCTCATTTCCCTGGTGTGTCCAGGCCTTTCTCTTGCTCTCTGGTCGAACTGAATGATTCAGAGCTTTATCCTTCATGTTTCATCAAATGGGCACTTCAAAGGTTACCATAAAAAATGTGGTTTGTGTTTAGAGAAGATTGATAACAGTGTACAAGTGAGGGATGCACTGCTAGTGCACAACCATGCACAACACATGGAGAGTTTTAATTTCTTCCCAGATCGTTTTTATGCTCGGGGATGAACATTAGAGAGGCAGAGGCACCAAGTCAGTTAAGGCATAAATTAAGAATTCCCTCACACTGTATATTTAGCTACTTTATATAATGGTAGTCCCATCAATTAGATTATTTAAATATGTATTTGGTCCACTTGCAGTTTATGTAATTCTGCCTTTATGTAAGCCCATCCTTGCTGGCCAGTTGTGAATTATGGTGTGATCAGGTCACTGCTTCGCTGAGGTTCTGAACTGTGTGACATGCAAAGCCAAATACATCCTTCCTCTCCTGAGGATGTGACCCAGCAGTTTGATTTCAGTGGAAAGCTTCCTTGTTAACTTCTGATTTTATCCTGATGGAGAAAAAGGATGATGGGATCACTTGGATTCACCAGTTACCATGTGTAGGAACAAAAAGGTGATTCCTCATGATCCTGGAATTATCAGCTTTGATTTCAAAGTTGAGAAGGGGCAAAGAGCTTTTGAGAGGCTTTTTGGGAAAAAGATGTGTTTTCCTTTAATGGAAAAATAATGTCTTTATTTCCTTTAATGATGTATTTTCCTTTCATCTGATGACTTTGCAGTCAGGAGCTCAGTTTTGGAGGAACATTCCTGTGCTGGGCACCCCTGTAGGTGTCCATCAGAGCCCAGGGGGTGTGGGGAGTGTTCTTTGCATCCTGTGCCATTCCCAAAGGGAAGTTCTGCCTTTGCTCTTTTGTAGGAGTCAGTCTGTTGATCCCACATGGAGCTATTCCTGAAGAGAGTTCTTGGGAAATCTACCTTGCCATCACTCAGAAGGAGTCCAGGTGAGAAGATTCTTGTCAGATACTTCATCTCCATAACTCAGCAAGCAGGGAATGCAGCCAGGCATAGGGGATGAATTCAGATGGGATGAATTCAGATGGGATGAATTCAGATGGGATGAATTCAGATGGGATGAATCCCTGGAGCTGTGCTGGTGGGATCTCCCCTGGCTGTCCTGGAGCCACGTGCACGGATCCACTTTGCAGAGTTCTGGATTTGAGCAAAGGCCCATCCCTGGTGCCCGTGTGAGTTACTGAGCCTGCTCATCCTGCAGAATATAAATGGGCTTTCAAACCAGGGAGATCACACTCAATCTGGAAAAAATTTATGAGCCTGCCTTTCTTAAGCCATAATTTGTTTTATCTTCGTTACTGTGAAAATATTGTGGATGGCAGCCTTGGAAGGCAGAGCGTGGTGGGACCAGCTGGTGCAGGGAAGCAGGGCTTGCTTGCACACAGCAAGTTCAGTGTTGGATCTGGGTTAAACAAACTGGAATGTGCTTTGAATCCCAGAATCCTGAGCTGACCAAGGGATGGAGTTCGATGGGGTCTGATGGTTCTGTTCCAGCTCCTCCATGAAAGGAATTTCCCCACTCGTCCTTTGCTCTAACAGATGAATGAGGGTCTGAGACCTTAACTGAAACCCTTGGAAATCTGCAGTTGGAGTGAGTTCTCACTGCTGACAGGCATTTCTGCCTCTCTCCTCTCCCCCAGCCTGCAGCCCGAGGGCTCGGCCGTGCTGCTGGGGCCGGAGGTGACCTGTGGGCCCTCGGAGGTGTCCGTGAGCACCCCCTTCGCCCTGACCATCCCCCACTGCGCCCACGCCGACCCCGAGCACTGGAACATCCACCTCAAGAGGAGGACCCAGCAGGGGAAGTGGGAGGTAAGGCCAGAGCCCCCTGACAGGGTTGTCCCAGCCCCAGTGAACCCCCCCGGCCGTGCAGGCACAGCTCAGAGATTGCAGCAGTGACAGGCACAGACACCCGAGAGGAACAATCAGAACCCACTTTGGCACTGCAGCAAAGGGGCAGCTCTGTGATCCACCCCCATGGCTGAAAAACAGTATTCAGTTTTCTCAGATTTATTTGTAAAAACGTGGTTTTGCTTGATCCCAAAGAGGCTCAGTGTCGGAACAGAATATTGTGTCCACACAAGAATTTATCCTGGCATAGAAGAAGTTACAGAAGTGCTTGCAAATAATTTTTAAAAATTATTAAAAATTTAATTATTTTTTTTTAGCGCAGAAGGACCCTCCCAGTTTAAAAATCTTGTGTCTCTGGGCACAGCCTTCAGTGACTGAGCTGTGCCCAGAGCCTCTGAAGGATTAGTGCACATTAAACTATTGTGCTTTTTTAGTTGAACATCTATTTCTTAATCCTGCCTGGCTGAGGAGATTAAAGCTTTGTGCTTTTGTAACAGGAGGATTTGATGGTTTCAGTCTGTCCACTGGCAGTTTTAATGCCTTTGGCCACCTTGGGCTGGAGCTGTTTGGGGGGCAGCAGTCTCAGGTGGCCTGAGCTTTCTGTGTCATTTGGGGAGACAGGCTGAGAACCCTCCTGAAATAAAACAACCTGTTACTCAGCATTCCGCAAACCCACACAGGATGGAAAGGGCTGAATTCCCTGGGAACAGCAGAGCCAGTAACCAGACACAAATCCACAGGCAATGGATTTATTGCATTGCTGCTGCTCCTGGAACTGGTTGGTTCATTTGCACTGTGAGGAGGGAAAAATTAGCAGTTAAAACATTTATGGATATAAAATCCATTCCTGGGCTCCATAAACCCCTCTGTGTCCTTTGCCTCCTCTAAACCACTGTGTGGTTTGTTGCTCCCCTTTAAACCATTTCCAGGTCAGGTTGGTTTCCCTGCTTTAGATTTCCTTGGTGAGCTCCACCAGTGTGGGTCCCAAACCCCCTGGAATTGGGGAGGAATCAGCAGATCCCTCCTCTGGTGGGGCTGTAAAGCAGGGCTGAGCCTCAAAGGCAGAGGAGTGGGGCAGGGAGGTTTTTGATGAAGGAAAAACGTGACTGCAGTGGGTGTTCTGGAAGCCAGTCAAGTCCCAGCTACTGTTCAAGGTTTGCTTATTGAACTTTAATCCTCGAGGTAATTTTTTTAACCTGACATTGGGGGGAAAAAAATTAGCTGGGAAGTCAAGAGCACTTGAAAAAAAGATGCTAAAATTGCTTACACACCATCATTATTATTGTATGCTGCACACATCGGGGCCTGCACAGTGCACGGCCATAAATCCTCCTGCTGACTCAGGGCTAAATTGGGAATATTTACTCACACAAGTAGTCCACCATCTCCCCTTCCCTGAGTGAGCAGCCTGGTCCTCAGGAACACTTTGCATTCCAGTTGAATAAAAAATAAGCAATGCAATGACTCCTATTGTCGAGGCCTGTTGGTTTTACTTCATTTTTTTTTTTATTTTTATTTTCTTTAAACCCGAATTTCGTTTTTTCAGGAAGTGATGTCTGTGGAAGAGGAAACTACTTCTTGCTACTGCCTGTTGGATCCTTATGCCTGTCACATTCTCTTAAACAGCTTTGGAACTTATGCCCTAATTGGGGAACCCATCTCTGACTGCGCCGTTCGACAGCTGAAAGTCGCCGTTTTTGGCTGCCTGTCTTGCAATTCTCTGGATTACAATCTGAGAGTTTATTGCATGGATAACACCCCTTGTGCATTCCAGGTAAATGCCTTCGCTTTGCTCGCTGGGGGTTGGTTATTTTTGTCCTGGGGACGGTCCCAACAGCCCAGAACTCCACCAAAAGTGACAATATTGGGGTTTTTTTTTAAGCCGCCGCTGCGTGACTTGCAATGAGTCCCTTGATTTCTCTGCAGTGCTGTTGCACGTGTGGATTTACACTGTGAGAGCTTTAGGGCAGCCAGACTGGCTTGTCATTCTTTGCCAGGCAGATGGAAAACCAAAATCCCTCAGCTCTGCTTAACCCAGCACAAATTCAGGGCTGGAGGGGCTGAGCTGGAGCTCAGTCTGCACCCCCCAGGACATGGAAGTCATTCCCAGCTGATGGAGAGTCTTTATCACACCCCTGAGCTGGCAGCAGTTCAGGATCTCCTCTCCCAGTTACAACTGGAGCAAGAAGAAAGAGGTTGGCTCACCATCTCCTTAAACAAAAATTAAATGTTGGTGCATTTTCCCTTTTAAAAAAAAAAAGTTAAAAAAAAAAAAAAAAAGACCAATCCCCAGGTGGCAATTGAAATGAGCAGGATTTTTTTAATGGTATTCCAGGACAAAGCAGTGACATTCACTGGCTTTTGCAGCCTTAGTAAACTCAGAAGCTTTAACAAAATGGTTTTCTTCAGGGAGCTGAATTGAAGACAGTTGTGACATGAATGTTCCCTTCCCTTGCCTCTCTCACAGGGTGGAAACACGGCTCTCACTGGTGTCTGTGTGCTTCTAATAAAAGCAGAGCCACCAGAAGGATTGTTAAAGTCTTACAATGGCTTTGTAATTATACTCTTTATAACACTTACACAATTAGTGGGTACCAGTATCTTCCTGATGAGTCTGTAGAAAATTATTAGAAGAATAATTACCAGTTTTCTGCCTTCAGAGGAATGAGAGCAGGGTGTTTGTAGATAGTGAGACAGCTGTGTATATTTACAAAATGATACAGCCCTTAAGAGCATGTAAATATTAGTGTGAACATGGAGAAACTGAGGGCTTTGGGTGAGGAATTGGAGTTGGGGTCACCAAGTTCTGTCTGACAGGGAATCCTTTGCAGTGCAGTCCTGGATGAGATACCAAGTTCCTTCATTTTTGACCTGTGAAAACCCACCTTGCTTTTCCAGCAGCTGCCTTTGCTCCCTGGGCAGCTCTGACTTGGGAAACTCTCCCAAACCCTTTGTGTTTTGTCATTTGCTGCAGCCTCGGTGTCACCCGAGGGTTTGTGGCACATTAAAAAGGAAATCCAGCACCTTCGAGGAGTTTTGAAAACCGTCATGAAACAATCCACTCCCCTCGTGGTTGGAAATCAAAAATTAAGGCTCCCTTCTAATTCTTTCCTTCATATAAACCTGACCATGAGGAGTTAAAACGAGCTGAACTCCTGTAAAAATTGCTCTCTAATAGGAATCCATTAGTACAGTTGCAGAGAGCTCGAGCAGGCATTGAATTTTCAGAAGGTCACAATGATTCCAGGAGCCCTTCTGACAATACCTTTGGTACTGACGAGCACTGAACCCCTTCGATGGATTTGATTTGATGTAATTTATGTGGATAAAAAAAAAGGTAATTTGGAGAGACTGCTTGCCAGCTGATTTTTATAAAGACTTGTGCAACCTTTCCTTCCTCGCTGGTGTTTTTACTGTCTCAGCACAGGAGTAAACATTGCTTAAGCACAGGCAGGGGTGATTTTTTTTTTTTATTTTTTTTTTACTATTATGCTTTAAATTCACAGAATTACATAAAAATGTAGCTGGGAACAGACCTCTGGAGGACTGTAATACAAACTCCTGCTCCAAGTCTGCCCTTCAGACTGCTCAGGGTCTTGTCCAGTGACTCTGAAGAGGCCCCAGAGAGGAGAACTGAGGCTGAATTGTTTGACCTGGTGTGTTCTCCTGGTGGGGGGGGTGTTTGAGTGCTCTGAAAGCCCTGGGAGAGGTTTCCCAGCCAAGCTGCTGCTGGCTCCAGCTGCAGGCACTGCTTTGGGATGTCCCTGTGCCTTTGAGTGCCTTTTAACTGGGATGGGGGTGAATAAACACCAGTCCCATCCCCTGGCCCACGAGAGGAACACTCCTGGTGTGCTGTGGGTGACCCAGACACCTTTGGACAGGTGAACTCTCTGGAGATTTGGGTTTTGTTCCTAATACTGACACAGTTCTCTCCTCTGCCCCTGCAGGAGGTGGTTTCGGATGAAAGGCTCCAAGGAGGACAATTGCTGGAGGAACCAAAACTCCTGCATTTTAAAGGAAATACCTGCAGCCTCCAGATCTCAGTCCTTGATATCCCTCCCTTCCTTTGGAGAATTAAACCATTTACTGCGTGTCAGGTACTTGGCAATTTTACCTCTTCAGGTTTGCACTGGGATGGGCAGAACCCAGATAAGGCAATGGTACCTTCTGTTTTGGCTTAAATCTCTTGGGCATGCAACAAAAATGAGTCAGAAGGCCAATATTCTTGTTAAAGCTTATCACTCCTGAAGATGTTTCTGATACCTGTTATTCCAGTTGTGATACAACTGCGAATACGTGGCTGCAAATGACATTTAAATGTTAATCATGAGTTGAAAGCACAGCGTGCAGATACCAAGAATTAGAACTGAAGAGCTGCAAATTATTTTTTTCTGCACTCCATTAATTAAAGAGGCTGTTGAAAAGCGGAAAGGGAAAATCAAAACAAAGGAAGGATTTCTAAGGATGTGGGTTACTGGGAATCAGAAGTGATGTGCTGGCACATGGAGTGGGCTGGTCTTAAAATACAGAACTCAATTAGACTATATAATCTCCCTTTTCCCAGAAGCAGAGAGACAATTATCTATCATTCAGTATTTTGGCAAAAAAACTGTTTTAAATGTGTTGCCATGTTCTCCAAAACATGAGTGTAATGGGCTCTGAAACTTATAAACACAGATCCACAGCCAGATGAAGTTTTACCTCATTAGGAATATAGGGATAATTTATGCTTCAACTTAAAAAGGGAGGGAAACCGAATCATTTTCAGCTTCCTATGAAGAACAGCTTTTAAGTGTTTTGTTTATTCTACTCACTGAACTGCATTTTAAAAGCCAAACCACTCAGTGTTAGGATGCCCCAGTACTACAGCAAATGCCCACCAGGAGCAGGATGTGCCCAAGCAGTGAAAATCATGAGAGTTTTCTCTAAATACAACAAATTGAGTTCTGCCTCATGGATGGAACACAGCTCCACACTTTGATTAATTTATTGCCTCTTGATCCTTGTCCAGGCCTGAAGAATAAATGTGTGTGACAGACTGAAATTCAACCTCAAAGTGCTGTTTAGAGTCTGATCAGAGCAGGGACTCGGGGTTAAATGAAAGCCTGTGCAAAACCTCTGCTGCCACAGTGGCTCTTACTGAACCAAAGGAATATTCCCATTTTATAACTGAGTGTAGCTGGCATGACTTGGCCAGCTCAGGAATACTGATAATTAGATAATTGTGTCTAAGAGGAACTGCAGAACCTGCACTGGCTTTGTGTTTCACCCTCAGTGAGGTGTCTGGTGACAGCTCTGATTTGGTTCCAGGCTCTTTAGAGATGAAAGGCTCTAGTTGTGCCCGTGGAGCTCCTTGCAGGGCTCCCTGGCTTCTCTCCCCCGTCCCACCCTGTGCAGGCAGCTGCCTGTGCTGCCTGTGAGGAGCAGAGGGGCCACAACTTTGCTCCACCCCTGACACCACCCCGGGACAGTGGGATGAGGAGGGAGGTGTGTCAGTGATCCCTCAGCTCGGGGGGATGAATCAGTCCTGCTGCAGAATGGCTGCAGAGCAGTGGATGGCAGGTGGTGCCAGGATTCCTCCAGACTCCACACAGTGTTTGTTTGTCCTGGCCCTGCTGCAGGAGCAGCTGCCGAGCTCTTGGCTCCCTTCCCACCCCGCTCCCGAGGAACTGGGGGAACCCTTGGGAACTGGGTGGGTGCTGGAGCAGGCAGGGGCAGTGAGCAGTGTGATAAGAAGCCAGGCAGGCACCTTTGGGGGCTGAAAGCTGCTGTGTTCCCCCCATCTCGTGTCCCTCGGAGGATCCGGGCTCTGTCTGGAGCTGGGAGATGATTTACATTCCCTGTCTCTGCTGGGAACTTAATTATAAAGGCAGAATGAAACTGAAAGCATTTCTGGAATACTGGAACCACTCATCCTTCACCACACGTTGTCCCTCTGTATTGTTTCCTGTGATTCTTTTCAACTGAGTGATTCTTCCACTCGGGATGAAAGTAGAGATGATTACCCTGAAAAAAAAATCTAATTATGGTTGCTCCACTTGTAACTTGTTTTGCTAATGTTTTCTTTACCAGTGTCAGTATCTTGCTACTGCTCCCAACCCAGGATCCAGCTGGGGCTGAAGAAAGGCACAGTTGGGGTGGTTCAGGTGGAAAAGGGGAGTCTGACAGAGCCAGGGCAGGTCTTGATGGGAAGCTCCTTTTTTTGGATTCTGCAGTACAAGGAAATGGCAGGGAGACACAGAGAAGAGTCAGGGTTCTGATCTCGGTAAGGAGGAGGTGAAGTGCAATATTTTCAAGTTTTAGATGAGTCTCCCATCGTTTGTTTCACTGGATGAAAGCTCAGCTCTCAGTAAAAGTGGAATCATCGCGGGTGGGCTTTGTGCTGCTGGGGGCTCGAAGGGATGCTCAGCAGAGCAGCAGGGAGGGGCTCTGGCTGTCTCTGCTCTGTGTCCCGTGTCCCTGACCCCTGTCCCGTGTCCCTGTCCCTGCAGGAGGTGCCGTTCTCGCGGGTGTGGCGTGGCAGTGCCCGGCCCCTGCTCTGTGCCTTCTCCCTGGAGCGCTACAGCCCCGGCACCACCCAGCTCAGCTGCAAGGTCTGTGTGAGGCAGCTCAAGGGCCACGAGCAGGTCCTGCACGTCCAGACCTCCATCCTCGAGGTAAGGGCTGCTCTCACCTGGCTTTGTTCCCTTGCTCTGTCACCTCCCACTCGCCCAGGTGGCTCCGAGCCCCGTCCAGCCTGGCCTTGGGGCATCCACAGCTTCTCTGGACAACCAGATTCCATTTCCAGCAGAAATCAAAGCACAGAGATTCTGCAGCACTAAAAGCAGCTCCTGTTCGGGTCGGTGGTTGTGGTTTTCTTGCAAGAAGTTTTGGCAGAGTTTGCAGGGCCCTGGGAGTTGAACACGGGTGCTCACAGTGTCTCCTGGGCACTGGGGCCTTGCTCACTGGTAAAAGAAATCAAACCCATAGTCAAGCAGGCTGTGATCTGTCCTAGAGCAGTGAAAACTTTGTTGATTAATCCAGATTAGTAGTTCTGGGTTAAAGCTGTCCACCCACTGCTGAATGCTCTCTGCAGAGAATGCAGCAACTGCACAAGAGAACCACCAACATCATCCTGTATCAAAAATCCTCAGAATATGGCCAGGTGTTTTTCTGGTTCTTTACTGTTATTTCATACAGATCTTGTGTTGCTCTCTGTGTGTCTCACTGCAGTGTTGCTGCTGCCTTGATTTTCCTCTCTCTGGATTTTTTTTTTAAGGGTCCCATCCTTATACAAGTCCCCAGAGCGTGTCAGAGTCCTGCCTTCAAACAAATTTGCTGGTACAGAGGGCTCTCTCATGCCTATCTCCAGCAGTGACTGAAGAGGGAGGATAATTTGACTGCAGAATAAATACAAACCCAACAACTGCTCACTGAGTTGCTCACTGGGATACAATTCCCAGAGCTGCCCAGTTTGCTGTTGCTTATCTCTCATGTGCAGGGGATGGAAATCCACCCTGTTGTGCATATTTAACACAACCAGGCAGAGCTGAGGTATCTCCAGCACCTACTGCTGTGCATGGCTGGCTCTGGGGATGTGTCAGAAATGCTCTGTGAAGAGACTCCACCTCTGTCAGTTGGTATTGATGCTGCTCAGAGGGATAAAGCACTGAAATGGGGCTCTGGCGCACGGGACTGGGGTCATTCCACAGCAAAAGGTGGGACAGATCTACAGAGGGCCTGGATTCCAAAGGGGTTGGGAGGACTGAGGTTCTTGGAGAACTCAGGTGGTTTAAAAAAAATTTTAAAAACAAACAAACAAACAAACCCACAACTGAGAGATTTGCATGTCCATATTTGAGGCTTAAGCAGTGAGAGACCCATCACTGCTCTGTTCGACTCCAGCTGTAACACAGAAGTATCCAAAAAAGAAAACTCCTAGAAGGGGAATATCACTATTTTAAATGCTTTTATACACAAGTCCTTATGATGTTCTGGGAGTTCCTCCACAACCCAAAAAGCCCCCCCTCTCAGCTATTTAATTTTCTGCTGGCAATTCTGCGAGCTACAGGGAGGAACCTCAGGCTCGGGTTTGAATCCTTGAATCCAACTTGCTTTGCTCTCCCGTTCCGTGCAGAGTGAAAGAGAAACCATCACCTTCTTTGCACACGAGGACAGCAACTTCCCTGCCCAGGTGGGTCCCAAGGCTTTCAAAATCCCCTTCTCCATCCGGCAGCGGATCTGTGCCACCTTCGACACCCCCAGCGCCAAGGGCAAGGACTGGCAGATGCTGGCACAGAAAAACAGCATCAACAGGTGAGAGAGGGGAGCAGGGGGATAATCGGCTGGTGGGGGGTTGGTTGTTTGCCAGGGTTAATTAATGAGTCATTAAGGGACTCTCAAGTACCTGCTTTTATCTACAAACAGCTGCCAGGAACAGGAGCTTCCCCCTTTGAAGGGCAGTTCTTTGCTGTGGACACAAGTCTTGGTGAAGTCCAAGACTTCAGTAGAAGGATTTTGGCTCTCTTGTCTACTAAGAAAAAGTTTTAAGAGGCTGCACGTTCTCTCAAAAAAAAAAAAAAATTTTTAAAAATCCCATGACCTGTTGTCCTGACTCCTGCTGATTTGTTTTGGGTTCCAAAATGAATACTGCAGTTTTGTTTGTTCAGTTTTTTTAAGGAAAAGACAGTCATGCTCTCCTGTTAGGGGTAATAATAGTATTATGATTATTAGAACTGAAAGATGCTGTAAAAACCAATTTACTACTTACTTTGCTTCTTCTGCTTGGCTGAATTAAATTGGCAGAGGAAGTTCACTGACAGAAATAGCCATAAATATGTTCCCAGGAGAGCACAGCAATACTTAAATCAAGCAAACCGACTTGCCATTGACTTGTTGCCGTGCATGGGAATCTCCACAAGCCCCATCTGAACCAAAAAAAAAAGTGTTTATGGTAAACACACTTTCTTTTACCGAATTCTTTGCAAATATCGCCCCTGCAGAGCCCTAAAATCTGCATATTAATAAAACACAGATTGACAAACTAAAAGATGTCGGGTCTTTACGTAAGCACAAGCATCAGCTGATGTTATGTAAATCCTCTGCCTGTCAAATCCTTGCTGAATTTCCTAATGATGCTTTCCAGGCCTGTTTCCTCATTTCCACGGGGCTGGGGCTGCAGTATTCCTGGGCTTCAGCACATGCCAGTCCCCTGCTCATTGTCCTAAACTTGGGCAGGGGACACCTGAGGAATAAATGCCCCAGGGTGGGTCCTCTCCAGGGCTCCTCAGCTCAGCCCCCCCAGCTGCTGCTGGAGGGTTTGGGGCAGTGGCAGCTGCTCCTCATCCTCTTCACCCCCCTTTTCCTCCCTCCCCGCAGGAATCTCTCCTACTTTGCCACCCAGAGCAGCCCCTCCGCCGTCATCCTGGACCTGTGGGAAGCCCGGCACCAGCAGGACGGGGACCTGGACTCGCTGGCCTGTGCCCTGGAGGAGATTGGGAGGACACACTCCCAACTCCCCGACCCCCCAGAGCCCGAGCTGGAGGAGCCCGACTTCAGCTACAGCCGCCAGAACGGGCTTTAGCCCCTTCCCACTCCAGAACTCTGGGACTGTGACACTGGAGGGAGGAAGGAAGGGGGTTCTGCACCCATGGGTGCCCTGTCCCACAGAGCAGTTTGCAGTGGGAGGAGCAGAAGCAGCCCTGCTAAAAAAAAAAAATCACCTGGTGGTGAGGAAAACACGACCTTCTCCCCGTCCTCCCCTCCTTTAAAACTCGCCTGGTAAAGTCCAAAACAAAAACTGCACATCTGTCAATCCTGGGGCAGGAAGGGGAAAACACAGAGCCGTGGGAGGTAAATGTTCTGACAGTGTATAGTTAGGAACAGTAATGCTGATATAATGCCCAGTGAAAAACAACAAATATGATGGTGGATGTTTAGAGCCACTGGAGGTTAATCCTGGTTTAAAGGTTTGTCTCTTCAAGAGTGGTTTAAATCCCATTTGAGAGCATCACGTTGTCACTTTATGTCTGCTACAGGAAAACTGACAATTTGGCCTTATCCTGTTCAGATGTTTGAGGAATTAGAAGATTCTCATAATTATTCCATATCATGTGTATTCCAGACCATTTCTTTTAAAAATCCAATCCCTTAATGAATGTACATTTGCTGCAGAGCTTTCCTGCCTGCTCTGTTCCCAAAATTACAGACCAAAACCCCTCTCTGTGAAATTGGGGTGTTGCACACACAAGAGGAACTTTCTGATTTTCTTGGTTTGCAAACTCTGACTTGGTCAATAACTGTTTCCTTGGGGGGTGGATTTAAATAACCAAATAACACGTGGGAAATTTCCAACCCTACTTTAGCAAGTTTACACATTTTTATTTTTTTTTTATTATTATTCCTTCATTTTCTGGGGTTAAACTAAGTGAAGGTGAAGTCAATCAGCACAGCTTAATTTTGGTTTGGTTTCAGGCTGAAACAATAAACCCCACCTGGTACTGCCAGAAATGGGCTCGATTCCTTTGCACAGCTTGGGAATGCCAGGGGATGTAAAGCTGGCTGGGTTACACCTGGTTTAGCCACAAATTGCATTTCCCACCCCAATCAGAATCCAGCTGGAGAATTCGCCTTATTTTTTTACCCATTTCATACAAATGTAATTTCTTACTTCGACCAAACCAAAAAGAGCTGTCACTGTGAGCGGGGGGCCTGGTGGGACTGGTGCTGAGCCAAATTTAACCCCTATTTTCACTCCTGTCCTTTACAATCAGCCAAGGTGCTCGTTGGGTCGGTGTGGGCGACAGGAGCACGTTCAGGAGAAAGCAGGAACAGAAAGGAGGCTTCAGGAGCTTTATGGAAATGAAAGGAACTGAAAAGGGGCAGTCTGGGGCTGTTTCACCCTTGTTTTTTGCCCAGAGCTGCACAATAGGCCACAGGGTAGGTACAGAGAGCAAATCTCTTAATAATCTGAAGCTGTTCTTTACCCAGGATTCCAGGTCTGAAAAGTCTGACCAACAACTCTGGACTTGTTCCTGCTGCTCTGGAACTGCAAATGTCATTATTGCCTTCCCAGCTCAGCAGGCTTGGAATAGTCTGAGACTTATAAATACTGAGACTTCTGCAAAGGTTTTCTGCACTTTAGGATTTCACAGAGCCTGACAGGCTGGTTGCTGTTTGCAGGGGGAGCAGGTTTGGGGCTGAGACACAAACACCAGCTCGTTTGGCAGCAGGCTGTCACTGCTTTTAGCAGCACATGGTTCTATCTGGGTTTGAATTACATTTCTAGTGACTGCCAGTCCTCCTCCTCAGGAACCTGTTCTTCATTGGACAAAATGCTGGGAATTAGGGAAAGAAAAAAAAAGACCAAAATAAGGAATGGCACCCAGAGCTGCTGTTGTCTGGGAAACCAGCTCCAGCCTCTCTCCAGCAGGGAATTTGTTCTCAGCTCAGTCCTAACCCAGCTCAGAGCTCGGGAACACTGAGACCAAACCAGCAGCTCCCTGGGCTGGTGTCCTCCAAAATCCAGGTTCCCAGGACATCCAGTGCCTGAAAAGGAATAAATGTTTAACTCTGACAATGCCAGAAAGGAAACTCCTCCTCCATGGCCGAGGGCAGGGCTGCCTTTGCTGTTACCCCTCAGGTTTTGTTCCCTGTTTTTATCTTCACTTTGGCTAAAGCAGCTTCTTTGTTACTGATCTTAAACTCTGAGAGTCTGATCAACAGCTCTCGAGTTTTTCTGCCTGTTATGGGTTGTTTTGATGCTCTTGTGTTGTTCCAGTGAACCAGAAATGCCCCAATATTGCACATTTCCTTTGCTCTTAAACAGACTTTCTGGAGGTCTGTGTACATACACAGGATTTGATCCAAAATGCAGATGTACAGGAGCACCTGAAAGAGGATTAGGGGCCAGAACCTAAAAATGTATTCCTTTCTTCCATTTTATAAATTATTACATTTGAAAAACAATTTTCACCAACTAGAAGGTAAAAGAAATGTAATTTTGCACACTTTAGATTCCATCTGGCTGCCCTGAGTCTGATCAGGTGCAACAGCCATTTTGATTTTACATCACCAAAGAATCTGCTCTAATATATTTTCATCTTCCTAAGCACAGGTACTTCTGTGCTGTGAGTCATTTAAGACTAATAGTTGCATTCTAAAAATGACTTACAGTTGTGTCAGCACAACGTGCAGCCCCAGCACCATAAAGCTCATTTTGCAGTCTGTACAACCCTGAGCTCCCACAAAAATTTTATTGGCCTTTTTGTAAGAGATGAAAAGATATCAACACAATTCCCTTCAAACACGGGGAGCTGGGTTTGTTATTATTTTTGTCTCTGGCAGCAGCTGCTCTCCCCCTCTCCGGGCATCGCTGGCCTGCAGCAGGTTCAGAGAAGCTTGTTCAGCATAAATCACCCAAACATGGATCCTGTAGGACTCCAGGGTATTAACAGCACACCACAGGGCCATTCTTTTCTTCCCACTTGTGAGTTTTAACACATTCAGTAACAGATAAATTCCAGAGCATATTTCTCACCACAAAAAAATCCAGCTTTGTGTGCACGGAGAACTAGAACAGGGGAGGAACTGTGCTGGCTGCCTGCTCACCAGGTCAAGCTTTTTTTTTTTTTTTACCCAGGCTGTTTCTGCCTGTAAAACACAGATTTAAGCAAAGGGGCTGCTTAGTTCTTGGAAGGTAATTAACTGAGTGGAAAAACAGGAAATTAGATTTCCAAGTCCTTACCGGCCGTGAACGATTTCGAGAGTTCACCTTTCTGGCCTTTCTCTAATTTCACTGATCCCCAGGAATTTCTCCACTTGTTCCCCAGCAGCAGAGGTGGTGGGAATAACTCACCGAGGGCCTTTGCCACGTTAACCCAGCTGAGGGAGGTTTTCCAGGGGTTGTTCATTTCTGGGCTGTGGTTTGGTGGAATTACTCCCTCGACACCGTCCTTGTTTCAGCAGAGGCTGGAGGCTTTTCCAGGGCAGCAGTGAAATGGCACCTCTGGCACTTTCTGGAAAAGTAACAGTGGTCTAATTAAAATGACTGAAAGGATTCCTGAGCAAACACAATAACTTAAAACACACAACACCTGTAGCCACAAACAACACTCAGTATGCTGGCAAACATCACGAATCATTTTCCAGTAATGCCTTTTCTCTCATTGCCAATACCAGCAGAAATGGTAGCAAAAATCTCCTTTCCAACACGAGACAGAAAGAAATCAGTCACTCTAAGATTAAAGACTCACTTAGAGAATTGTTTGGTAGTGACAGTGTCTGCAGTGCAGGAGGCAGAACCCGAGTTCTGCTCCTTGCCACAAGTCAAGGAAAAACCTTTATCTGTACCCGTGTTCACTGTTCTGTCCAAGAATAACATAAGTGTCTAGGAACTTGCCACTATATTTTTTGTATTAGAGGTGAATAGTACAGACTCTACTAGTGTTTCTTGTCTGGGGCTCGGGGGGGGGTAGGGGGTGTTGTTGTAATTTTCGAGCTGTTGCAAAAGCTGCTTTAACTGAGCTGTCGAGTTGTCTTGACTGGTTTGTGCTTTACAAGGGCGAGCCCGGGTGAGCTGGGGCTCACCTCGTGTCCCGGGGGAGCTGGAGCTGAAGTCACCTGTGAGCCATGGCCAGGGCACAGGGGTCAGCTGGGCTGTCCCTGCCCTGGCCCAGTCGGAGCCTCCCCTCCCGTGTCAGCAGCCGCTTCCTTCGTCCGCCCTGCCATGAACCCCTGGGTGCAGAACTGTCCTTGTGCAGCCCCCAGGAGATGCCAACCCCCTGTTCCCTGCTCTCTGTACATCAACCTCGCTGTCCAACCCCAGGTGTGGCACCAAGGGGAGTCAGAGGGTGCTCTGCACCGAGCCTGGCTCGAGCTGTTGTGGCCCAGGGGGAGGGGAGGACACGGATCTCACAGCCAGGGGACCTGCCCTGGAAAGGGGAATGTGCCCTCCCAGATCCTCCCAGGGAGCTGCCTGGTGCTTGGGGTTTGCAGTTTAAAACATCTGGTACTCCCCATGCTGATATTTGGAGTGTTAACCCTGGGGTGGTGACACCTTTTCACCGATTCCTTTGGTTTTCCCCCCATTTGGGCGCTGAAGGTGGAGGGGGAGGGAGCAATATTTGGAGGTGAAGCTGTAGATCTTTGCATCCTTTCCACTAAAACCCTGTCCCTGAACCTCCCAGAGTTCCCTGGCTGCATCCCTGAGCAGTACATACACACACAGGTAAATGCCTCATAGATTTACTCCTGACATCACAGAATTTGTGACCTGGGAGATGGAGTTGCCTCCTCCCACCTCTCCAACTCATCCCATTCTGATCCCATTTGATAACCTGGCTCCAAAACCATTAATTATGCACCTTCTGTTGATTTGGATGAAGTAAAATTGGACTGGTCAGACTCAGAGCAGTGTTACACACCACAAGAGCTAAGAAGAAAAAAAAAATCCCCATTGCATTTTCAACTTGGAAAACTTTTGACCAGCCCTTTGGTGAAAAGAGGAGGGGGAACTTCAACCTGATCACAAGAAATGTAAATTACTTTTTAAAAAGTGAAAACAAACAAACAAAACACAAATATTCCTCTAGAGAGACCTATTTTCTCTTCTGCTCCCTTATTTTTGTGATGAGTAGGTTCTGAAAACGTTGGTTCTGGGCTCATGTGACTGAGCATCCTTCCCTCCCCCGGGTCCAGTGTGGTTGGAACTGAAGGAGAGCAGAGGTTTGAACCCTTTCTTTAGTATGAAGCAGAAGGAGCAGGGAGGAGAGACAGAACATGAAATCAAAAGCATGGCCTTGGCTTCATACCACACTTTCTGTGCCTTGTTCTATCAATGTAAATTCTGAATGTTGTACAGTAAAATATTTGGGAAAGACTCCTTGGAAAAGGCTGCACTGGCTTCTTTTTTTCAGCACATGTACATATATAAATATATATACATATATATATTTGGTAATGCCAACCAGCTGTGTTATATTGTACTGAGAGAGTGACCCTGGGAGGTTTTGGGTGTTTTCTGGAGGGGCTGCAGAGCTGTGGCCCCAGCCTTTTGGAGAGACATGTACAGGTGGGGACTCCTGCATATCAGTTATTTATGAATAAAGAGTCTTTTACTGACCTTTTGGAGCATGTTTGTTCCTGTGGGAAAACAGGGGGAGGGCTGAGCTGAGCACTCTGGGAGGCTGGGTTGGGTTTGTGCTGGAAAACTCTGTGCTGGGCACCTGTTTCCTGAAAAAAAACCAAAAAAAAGAATTAAAATCTACAGGAATAGGACCAGAAGTGTGGCTTGGGCTGGCGACAGAGAAAAGAAGGGGAGGAGAAGATTCTCTCCCTGCCTGTGTTTATTTTTTGTTGTGTTTTAGGGCCATTTGGTTGCTGACTCAAATGCTGTAACCCTTCTGTTGTGACAGGAGGCGACACTGGAGAGAACTCCTGGTTACAAACACCCCAGACTAATTTAAACCAAACTGAATCAATCCCAATCTGCTCTGCCGAGGGAGTTTGGGCTTTTTTTTTTTTTTGGCTTTTTTTTCCCTCTTCCGAGATATCATTTGGATTGTATATATTTTACTCCAGTACTTATCACAGCTTCAAGGCTATTTTCCCTTATTTTGCTTTATTTCTTTGCTCTTTTTTTCCCCTGCCAGCCTGACTCACTAAATAACAGCATCATAGAGTCAAACCTTAAATCACGGGCAGTGCCTGAAGTCCTGCAGAAAGCTTTGTTAGAAAAACATGCAAATAAATCACCAATTCTTTAAAAATGCCTCCAGAGTTCAAAAATCAGCTTTAAAGCAGGCCCTTTAAAGAGTTCAGTTTTTTATACCAGAAATATTCAAAGAGTTTTGTTTTGAGTCATCGACAGGAGCCCAGACTTGGCTGTGCACGAGGGCTCTCAGCTCCTCATCACACCTGCTAGAAGGTAATTCTGCTGCAGAATTAGGGAGAAGGGCAGCTGAGGAACAGCCACTGAAATCAGGGTGAGAGCTGAGAAATTCTCATGGTGGAAAAAAGGTAACAGCATCTTGGGAAGGGGGGTGTAAAAAACCAGGTACAGGTGGGCACACCCCCCCACACACCCCTCCAGGTGAGTCTTGTGCCAAAAACCCCCCAGGCTGTGCAGGATGTCAGTGTTTCCCTCCCTTTTAGCAGGATAACCAGCTCATTAAATCTTCCCATGAAGGTTATTTTCTTACCAAGTGACAGATCTAAAGATTTACGTCCCCCATCCGTCACCTGCCTTCCCCCTCCTGCTTATCCCTTTGTATTTGTTAATGGCCTTTCCCTTGTTATATAATCCTGTCAGGGGTGTTAAAATACCTCTCAGGACTGTTCATTTGGTCTAAATCATCCAGCCTGCCCCGGTGACAGCAGAGCTGGTGTGGGAAGGAGCCCTGTCCTGTCCTCCAGTAATTGTCACCACATGATAAGAAGGTGTAAGATTTAATAAGGTCATAAAGCAGAATGGCAGGAGCTGGTGTCACAGGTATTTTTTTTTCATTACCGTCCAGAAAATCTGGATTCAATGGGACAATAAATTACAGCAATTGAGCAGAAACGACCCGTTTGATTATTCAAAGTCTTTCCAGCCACCCGGGGAGAGCAGCAGGGCCAGGAGCAACCTCTGCCACCCCCACAGACCTCAAACCACTGCTCCCCGGGCCACCCAACTGCCTCTGCTGAGCTCAACAGCCACAACCAGGCTCCAGAGCAGTGCAAGAACAGCAAGTTGTTTAGTTCTGAATGCACTGAAAGTGGTGGAAGCAAATATTCCTGTCAAACTCGGGCACATCCCTGTCCGAGCGCTCAGGGCTGGCTGGGGGCTGCCAGGGGATGACAAGTTTCCAGTGCAGACGCCAAAAATCAACACCAGGGTAAAACAAAACCAATAAAAACCAGGAAAATAAAGATGCTCCCCTCCCCTCACAGATATTTTTCTCCTCCAATCAGCCACAAGCCCCCTTTATCTCATCCTCTCCTGTCCTCGAGCTCTGGGCAGCTTCAGAAGCAACAACTACAATGACAAGAACAGACCTTAAACCCACACTCACTCTGAAGCAGCAGCTTTGCCTGCACCCCATGGGCTCCACGTTACAGCCCTTCCAGAAGCACAGATCCAAGTCCCCCCCACGACACACATCCCTGGGGAACACGTGAACCACTGGGATCACTCCTGGGACATCCTGGGAAAGAATCTGACTTTTTGAAGCTGCTAATTAGCAGCTGAGGTCTCTTGAGAAATGCCATCCTGTTTGTGGGGCACAAACACCTCTGAAAGTAGGACCCTCCATTTCTTTATCCCCATTTCACGTATATACAGGGATATTTTCCCTCTCATTACCTGGAAACAGTTGGGTTTGCTGCTCATGCTTGCCCATGGCTAACAATTATTTATTGCTCATTATCATGATCTTCTGTCACATCCAGGGAACTGGGATTGAGCAGGAAACAAGCAACAGAGATCCTGGGCTTCTGGAAACACCCAGAATATTAAAACTGAAGGGAAGAAGAAGCACGTTAAGCTTTGGCTTGATTTACAAACTTTCCGAGGAGCGACAGTTGTTCCTTAAAGGATTTGTTATGATCAAACTAATTTATGGGGTTGTTACAGTGGTGAAACCTCTGCATTTAACATTTATGGGGAAAGAACTTCACAGTTTTGCTTCGTGGAGATTCAATTAAAATTTGACTCAGGGAAAAGCTGCCGCAATTTTCCTCCTCACATTTCGTCCTTCACTGATCGCTTTTCTTTTTAATACTCCCTGCCTGGTGAAACACTGGGAGAAGCCCTTTGCAAACAGCAGCCTCATTAAAGCCCCTGCACCACAGTTCACAGGGATTACAGATGGGCACCAAAAATGGAGGGATGCTGCCCTTTTGTCCCGGTTAGAACAGTTGGGACCAGTTCATCACTGGATGGGTGTCACCCAAAACTGGGTATTCCAGAGCCTTCCATGCCATTGCCCAGAAACTGTTCTCAATGAACCATTTACACCCTCTGCCCAGAGCAGCCCTGACCCCTCAGGCTGTAAACTGGGTGTTCAGAGGCCTGGGAGACAGGAGGGTGCTCCTGTCCTCACCCCCAGTGTGGAACTG